TATAAAAAGCACCAAACTTATAAATAGGTAATGTCTTTAGACTAAATAAAAAGTAAGTTTCTATGTGGTTCCTGGCATTTGCTTTTTACTCATAATTTGAACATATGCAGAAGGTATGCTTCCCCTTTGTGTAACTAATTGCACTCATCAGCCAAAGTCTTCTCATCATCTCTCCAACATATACCCTCATCTTTCTCTTCCTGTATCCCTCTCCCTTCTCCTAGCTCTCCTATTCTTCTTTTAGTTTTATTCTTTTGCACAATTTTCCTCCTACTCCCCTTACCATATTTCAACTTAATTTTGGTTAAATAGAATTTTTTTTTTGAGATGGAGTCTCGCTCTATCACCAGGCTGGAGTGCAGGGGTGCGAAGTTGGTTCACTGCAACCTCTGCCTCCCGAGTTCAAGTGATTCTTCTGCCTCAGCCTCCTGAGTTGCTGGGACTACAGGTGCATGCCACAACGCCCTGCTAATTTTTTATATTGTTAGTAGAGATAGGGTTTCACCGTGTTAGCCAGGATGGTCTCAATATCCTGACCTCGTGATCCACCCGCCTCAGACTCCCAAAGTGCTGGGATTACAGGAGTGAGCCACCGCACCTGACCAGTTAAGTAGGATTTGATGGATAGCCTGACAATCTAATCAAAAGCTGATTCCTTGTGGAAAGCTGTGCTCCTTGTGGCAAGTCAGGCTAGAGCAGTGAAGGTAGGGTGAAAAGCACAACTGCATTTTGAGAGGTGAAGAGCATATCCACTGGGGCCAGTTACTAATCTTTCTGTGCCTGTTTTATCATCGATAAATACAGTGATCATAAGGTAGCTACCTCCATGACTTTCTTAACAGAATAAGTGAATTTGTATTGTAAAGGGCTTAGCTAGCACTTCAGGAACAAAGCACAGATATCTGTTCTTACTATCTATCTCTACTCCACATTTTACTGGACATTGTAGAAAGTGAAAGAAAGGATTTTGGTTGGAAAAAATAAAGTTGTCTTTATTTGTAGATGATACGATTGTCTACGTAGAAAATCTGACGGTGAATCTAAAAGCTATTAAAACTATTGATTAAGTTTAGACTAGGTTGTAAGATAAAAGCTCAATATACAAAAAAAAAAAAAATCAATTATGTCTCCCTATACTAAAAACAATTAGAAATAAAAATGTTTAAACAATCACTTGCAATCTAATAGAAAAATTAGATAATTTAGTATTAATAATATGAAATAAATCTGACAAAGGTGTGCTAGGAAACTATAAAACATTGTTGAGAGAAAATAAAGATTCAAATACATAGAGAGATGTATTGTGTTTATGGATCTAAAGATTCAATATTGTTAACATGCCAATTATCTCCGAAATGATCTATGAAGCTAAAGCAATCTTAATCAAAATACTGTATTTTTTTTTTAGAAATTGACAAGCTGGATATAAAATTCATAATGAAAATACCCAGAATCACTGAAACAAGTTAGAAAAAGAAGAATAGATATAAAAGACTTAGAGTACTTGAATTTAATATTCATTGTAAAGCAAATCAATGATTTTATGGGGATGGTGACTGATGCTAATGGCAAGGATGGGAGGGAGGGATTATTACAAAAGGGCACAAGGAGACTACTGGAATGATGGGTATGTTCATTCTGTTTCCCAGTTGTGTGTATGTATGTATTTGTATATATACACAAATATTTCACGTATATATTTTCATATTTATGTCAAAATATCAAACCGTATATTGTAAGTAAAGTTTATTTTATGTTAATCATATAGCAATAATTTTGATAGGGCCCCTCTAATAAATTATGTAAGATCTCATGATACTCATTTCTTTGTATCAAGCTGTCCTTTCAATTTGTGTTATTTTCTATTCAAATTTGCATTAATTTTGCTGCATTTTTTCTTTTCTATCCATTTCATTGTAGTATATATGAAAGCCCTAGCAAATTCTTTTTGTAATAAGATGTACAACAATGTTATAGTTCAACAGGAGCAGGAGATGTGATATTTTAAAGGCCAACAAATGGCTCTTTGCATATGTCAATTTAGAATGCCGCACTAAGAGGACTGTTCTTGGGGTGTAGTTCTCATTCCCATACAATCTGTTCAATGGTTTTCCTAATTTGTCTAATTTCATTCATTCATTCACTGAGCATATTTCTGTGGCAGGATTTGAGTGATATAAGTACATGATATTGAATTTACTTGATCTATATGGTTGATTATAACTGTAGTTTAAGCATTACATGAAAAATTTTAGACACTAGATAGCAAGTCCTACTAATGTTAGATGCAGAGTTTCATGTCTATAACATTATTTTCTTCTTAGATGCTCAGTAGAGTAATTTATTTTCAGAATCATCCTGACACATTCTGACATTTAAGTGGTTTGATTTTATATGATGTATTATCCTTTAAAAAAAAAAAACAGGACAAATGCCAAATGCCTGTATCAACTTCAATATTTATAGCACAGAATTATTAATTAAATTTAGTTCTTCATTTGAAAAACAAGTTTGCTGGACTGTACCGGTTGGAGTGTGGATTAATTTAATGTAGTTTGAAATATAGGAATTACTAAATCCAGTTAACTTTTTATTATGCTATTTCTATTTCTTAAGGCATACACCCCCTGTTTAGAGATTTTTCTCTCCAGGCTAAGAAGATTTCAGTTCTTTTTAATTTAGTCTTCTTGGGCATGTTGCAAATATTCTACCTAGCTATGCTTTTCAGTTCTATTGTGGTAGAGCCAATTCTTCATTTTCTCTGCTCCTCACCTGTTTTGTCTATTTATTTGTGTGTAAGATGTCAAAGGAAAATGAAAAGTAACACCTCAAAATACCACCTTGACAAGGAAAATGCCAACAAATTCTTTTCTGCACCTGAAGCTTTTAATTCTTTAATCCACCATGGAATGTTGCTTAATTACATATTTTATTATGCATAACTGAAAATTATGTACTTTAGTTTCAACAATGATATGAAAGCATGTATTGTTTATAAATAAAGAGAGACTGGTTTGTCTCTATTTTTTTATATTACAAATATTTGTGGAATTCTCACATGTTCTCCTTCTAAAACTTGGCTTTTTGAAAATGCTCCGAGAGCTCTGAGAAAAACTTCGTTTTAATGTTTTCTCTAGAAATCAGAAAATTCATTTCTTAAAAAAAAGATGATGTCATAACATTATGGGTAAAAACCATTGAACAGTTTAAATATTTTTGTAGAAATTTTATCTTAATGAGTTTTATGCAAGTATTTATTGATGGAAAAATGAAAATTGTTGAATTAGGTGATAAATCCATAGGAGTTCTTTGTCTCTACTTTTCTGTGTGTGTTTGAAATTTTCCACAGTAGAGTTTGTTTTTTAAAAAAACATTTGGGTGTGTATAGGTCTTTGGCGGTTACCATTTCATGATGAAATATTCCATACACTTGATTTCAATTACTCAGTGATCAAAGTCTTCATATTAGCAAAATATGCATTACAATATATTTCTGAAAATTTTGAATTGCCATTAGGGTTTTTTTGTTGTGCATTTTCTGCATTTGAAAAAGCTTTTTTTAGGGAGAAGAGAAATGTGAAGATAGACGTGAGTTTGGGACAAATGTGGCCACTTAACAGCTGAACAAATCGGTTAACCTATTTGAGTTTCCCTTCCCTTGTCTTTGAAGTGAGAATGCTGTGCCTGCCTTAAATACCTCATAGTGGAATGGAGAGGTTTAAACAAGATATTTTTGTGGCAGTGCCTAATAAAATGAAGCATTCTACAAATGCTTTTTTCTAAATTTAAAACGTGTGAGGATACTAGGAAGGGGGACTCAGGAGGAGGAAGCCTTTGTGCTAGATCCAGCAAAACAAATGTTTGCGAATTCCCTTTGGAAATAAAGGTGGACTAGATGAAGCCTGTCCCCACGTTAAGATGCCATTCAACAGGTTTGTGCTCTGGACAGATTCTCATTTTGCATCACATTGCCGCAGGCTAACAAATTAACATAAATATTTGAATATTCTTTAACATTCCCATCTAACAGGTATTGTTGGTTCTCCTGTGAAAGGAAAATCAGAGTAGCACATGGGACATCATTTTATCAGATGGAGGTGGTAGTGGAAGGGCATGCATTGAAGTGTCACCGTAATGAAAATTTTGTATTTGAGTACCGCAAAAAGCAAATATTTCTGATTCAACTCACAGTAAATAATTTCAACATTTACCTTGTTGCAAAATGTTGTTCAAATTGTTGCAAAATAATGTTCAACATTTACCTTGTTGCAACATTTACCTTGTCACTTTGAAGTTTCTTTGCAAGTGTTTACTTTGCATAACATACTGCTCTAGTGCATTCACTCATCAACTACTATCATAGAGAGCAGGGTCCAGGTCAAGTGCTTTGATCACAGTCATTGTATTAGCAGATGAAAACAATTGTTGGGAAAAGGTAACCACACAGCCTTGGTACAAGACAAGAAGCTGTAATTGAATTTTGGTAGTGTGCTTTTGATAGAATTAAATTTGGAGATATATGCTCCCTATAAGTAGAGTAACAAGAAAGTCTTAAAAATGTTGCTCATCTTTTAAACAATAATTTCAAACTATTTTTATTTAACATTTGGTATTGTTAAACAGGTATAGTATTCAGGACATACACCTTCTACCACAATTTCTTTAATTAGGGTACTTTATATTTTATCAAAAATGTGCATATTAATAGATTGTAGTTTAGCCTTTGTCAAAAGACATGCAAGTATTTAGTATTTACATTAAAAGAATTGCCTCAGAAGAAACATTGAATTCATAATAAGCCCTCTTAAAAAGTAAAAAATATGCATAAGGAAGATTAGTATTGATATTTTCTGATATTTTTAGATGTGATTAAAGTTTGGACCACCATTGGTTCCCACGCTATCATGCAAATTTCCAACTTGCTTTAACACAACAGTTCATCAGCTGTATTATAGGGAATACACATTTTAATTGCTCTTTTTGAAAATATCACCAGACAGTTCAGAATGTCTCATTTATTGAGAATATTGTGACAATCAAAGACCTTAATATCAGCCAGATGCTAACAATTGGGAATAGGGCAGAATTTAATCATGGAATGTATGGGATTCTCATTTTTACTCAATCTTGAACCATTTGAGAATGTTTTCTATTCAAGCTAGTATTTTTAGATAAACACAGATATAGATATCGCTACTTTGAAAAAAACACTTATTTTAAACTCAGAATTTCTTAGCACTAAATGCTAACCAATACACATTTTATACATAATATGTACAGACTTTGTTACCAAGCGCCACACAACTAGGGCATACATATTAGTTACCTTGGTTTTCAAAGGTTATGTGTCAACTCTGCATGTTGTGTGGCAAGGAGATACTATCAACATTTTTTTTTTGCATAATGTGCAAGTATTATATGGCCACAGAGTGTAATACAAATTAGTGGCAAAGTGCTGAGTGAAGGGAATCCATGACAGATTCAGATGCACAAGGTTGAATATTACCCGTAAACTACCTGACTCTGCTAAGGTCTTAACAGCACAAACCGCTATGTCATGCCCAGCTTTTAAAAGTCTCTGAAATACGTGGACACAATGAAGCTTGTTACAGGAATTTTACCATGCCACAGGAAACAGGAGGAGGACTGGCATGAGCGATAAATGACATTGGTGAGCAATATGGAAGATCATCTGGGCAAGTCTTTTCTAAAATGTGCCATCTTCCCTGAAATCAATTTTGCTCACTCCATCCGGGCCATCATTGTTTATTAACATGTGCATGTGTGTGTGTGTGGGTGCGCACTGGAGGGGGGGCACTTAAAATATCAAATTATCAAAACCATGGTGACTTTAAAAAAGTTAAAAAATCAATGTGAGAATTCTGTTAGCATTGCTATGTCGATTACCAACAGACATTCATTTCACTGAAAACACTATTTCAAATAATTTAGGTTATTAGCAATGGAAAGTTATTTGCAACCCAATTTCTCCTTCCAAAAAGATTACTGAATTTCATACCTATTTGACACCTTGTGTTAGGGTTGGACTGGTTAAAAATCCAGCCTTGTTCCTTAAACTTAGGGGATCTATAAGGAAGAGAAAGACAATTTAACTAATGGTATTCTAGTTTCTATTTCTTAAATACATTAAATCTAGTTTTCTTAATTCAAATTCCTTTGGCTCAAGTTATTACTTTTCTGAACTCTAGTGAGCAAAAATGTTTGAGAGTTGTTTTCTTCATAAAAAGAAGTGGCAACTTTTCAGTACAATTTTAAGTTTGCAACCAACCAGCTGCCGTCAGAGTAGCTTAGCTGTGCTTCAAAAGCAAATGGAACTTTAAAGCTTCTTTGAGAGTTTTCAATGATTCCATTTTAGTTTCTAAAGTACAACATTAAAGCAGCCCCGTTGCCTACCAATAAGCTCATCAGGGCCTGAGAAAATGGTAGGCAGAAAGAGAAGGGCAATTGCAGAATGGTATCTCAAGCAACCCAGATACCCTTACTAGCATCCAGGAAACCTTAAAGTGAAGAGGCAAATAAAAATCACGCAAAACTGTAATGCTGGCCTCAGTCCTTTCTGTGACCATTAGCACACCTCATTTTATATTCTGGCATTTTACTAAGTTGAATGTTGCAAGAACTTAGAAGATTGTATTTAAATTCCAGGTGTGTTATTCCTATTTTCTTCATGTAGCTCTTATAGTTATGACATACACAATCAAATGAGCTTAGTTATTAACTTATTCCAAAAACTTGTTAAAAAAAAGAAAAAAAGCTTACTAAGCAGTTTTTATACAGAAGGTCCATTTTCCCCCTACTTATTTTGAGACTATTAATGAACTTTAAAAATATTTGTACATTAGCTTAAGGAAAAGTGTTGCTATAATTGAAGTATTGTGAAATAAGCACAGACGAATCCACTCTAAGAACATAACTGCTAGAGACTGGATTTATGTTTTTGTTGGAGAGTCTTTTGACCATCCTATCTCTATTTATTAAGCAAAATGTTAACCAAAACAGGTTATCTTCATTGTGAAATTTCATACCTATTTAAAAATGAGCATGTGTTTGTGATGTAAATTTACAGTGTTTCAAGTAACTTTTCAATTGCTCTTTTCAAAATCAGTTAAATAGCAAGAAAGTATTAACATGCACCTAAATGAGAGGGCCATCCTTTGACTTTTCTTTAAAGTTACTTCACATAAGCAGACAAACCCTACCATGTCATACCATACAAACAATTTTAATTGTGTAGTTACAGTCAATAACCACTCCTAGGCAGAACATCTCTGCATAAAGAAAATTGTGATACACTTATAAAAACAGCCAGCTGTAACAAAATCGCTGGTGTTTTCATAGCCATAAACTCATAAAAAAGAAATACACCTTTATACAGAAATTTTATACAGATGTAGCTTTAAAATTGATTGTAAACCAAAGGAAGACACATTGCAAACATCAATTATTTTCACATTAATTGCATAATTTTCTAAGGTGATCTATTAGTTTTATTTACCTAAGCTTATTTGCATGATAGTAAAAATTGCATACAACAATAAGAGTGAAGCTTATAGTATGAATTGCTTGGATAACATAGAGCACTTTTTATAGGCAACTGTGTAAAGCACATTTTCTCTATTTAAAACTTTTAAGACACTTTGTTTTACTGCCCATCAAAATACATTTATAAATAGAAAAGAATCAGTATGGTAACAAGAGAAGCAATATTACATTTAACGGAAACTTCCAAAAAATTAATTACAACATGATGCTGCAGGATCTACAAATAAATAATGAGGACTAAATTGTGTTTCACATTTTCTTTTCCTTTTTTTTTTAAAAAAATCATGTAACAATGAGAATGAAAAAAAATTACAGTGAACTTTTATTTCCAAAATAAAAACAAATTTGAATTACGGCAGTGCCATATAATACAAGGCATTTGTTGGCATATGTCATCTTTAAACTGCATTCCACAGTCTATAGTTCTTTTGTAACATACAATAGAGTAACAAACTCTTTTTTTTTCTTTTTTTTTTTTTTAAATAAGGGGCAAGTTTCCAAAGATCAGTGTGGAGTGCTACAGAAATAATTATAGGAGAGAAAATCATAATCACAGAAGTTATAATGCTTGTTTGAGGCTCCAGAATAACTGAAAAAAAAAAAAAATCACTGGTTTCATGCTTACGGGGTACACACTTTGGTGCATCCCGTGAACACAAATTTTAATACCAAACAATCCTTGATGCTTCACCTGGGGCTGCCAAGCAGTTTGTAAAACAGAGTAAAACATTTAGTGCAGTCTGTATTATCCTTTTCCAACTTTTCTGTTTGTGCAAGTTTTTGAAGATTCATTGGCCAAACAATGAACAACAAAGGTTTTCTGAGAGAATACAAGGTGAACTTTTCATTTTGTTAGTAGATACCAGTGGAATTGTTGAATGAAACGAATACTTTTATCTCAGTCTTTCAAATCAGCATTAATGTCTGTGTTTCCTTCCACTGACAGCTCTTCTTCTAGTTTCACTGAAAAAAGGGTGTTAGTATTTTTATCTTGGACACTTTCTTCCAAATCCTTCAGCAGCTCCTCTTCTTTATATTCTGCCACATCAACCTCTAAACCGGAATTGTCCTTCAGTTTGCCATGGTGCTTGAGATAGTACCGCTGGTTCTGAAAGAACTTGATGATGGTGTACTTGGGAAGGTCAAGCTGAGCGGACAGAGTCTGGATGGCCTCTTCATCAGGGTACAGGCCTACGTCTTGTATGAAACTCTGGAGGATTCCCAGGGCTTCCACTGAAATTTTTGTTCGTGGCCGGGTCTTCTGCCGGTTCTCCTCATCTGACTCTGCTGGAGAGGCCACCGTGGGTTGTCGTGGGGGGAGCCGAGGGCCTGCCTGTGGCTGCTGCTGTGGCTGTGGAGGCTGCGGCGCCTGCTGCTGCTGTTGCTGCTGCTGCTGTTGCTGCTGCTGTTGCTGCAGAGAAACAAGGAGACAATCAGAGCTCTGCTAGCGTGGAGCTCCACACAAAGCCGCCTAGAATCAGGAAGCGTGGTCACAAATCCCACATATAGCTTCTTTGGTAGGGACGAAGAATTAGAACAAAAAGGAAGGCCAGCTAAATGGCCCACAGCATTTAGAAAAAAATCAAAAATGATATGAACTAGGAAGGGATGAATTAATATGGCTATGCCCCCCAAATGAATAATATGGGGGGCTACTGCACTTACTTATCAGACATCAGTGGAGGAAGTGAAAACTCAGTGCTCTGAAAATGGGAGCCATAAACTTCACTAGAAGGACACGCATCAAAGGCGAAGACGGCACATCAAATTATGATGTAAATAATTAACAAAGATTTAAAATGAAGATTGAGAGGCTAGGATTTCAAAGACATTTTAGAAAGGTGAGCTACAGAGCAGTAGGGAAAGAAATTCATGTTCTGCTCTGTTTCACTGAATGGCCAGGAAGAACGGAAGATGAGTGTATGCTCTTATTCAATGTTATCTGTCATGAGACCAAAGGATTTTTAAGATTCTCACATTTGCGATTTTTCTATCAGACAGTTCCAATTTAATACACACACAATTTCTTACCAAATTGTCCTAGGCTGACACTGCAAGTTTTTTTCTTACCTCAAAATAAAGGTTCAATCCCCCATACGATGGCTAGCGAATTGTTTTGTCTATAGTAAACTCAGATGTGATTAGGATTTAAATTTAGTGTATACAGACACTTTTTCATAATTACTATATGTGCTATAATTTCCATACACAATTATACATAAATATGTGACACATGCACATACTGTATACTCGATATCCATAATTCTTACCAGCAAAGCAAATCAACCTGCGTAAGTGGCACAATATTAGAATGCTGATATCGTCTCTATGCACTTCCTTTTATAGCTCTAAGAAGGAATTTTATTAAAAACAATTTACATTTTCAAATGAGTACTTTTTAAAATTACTTAACATACATTTTTCTCTTTTTTGTTTCTGCTAAACAGTAAGTTTTTCAGGCTTTCATGGTTATTTTACTGCTTGAAATCCTAAAGGGAACCTCTCTGTCAACTTGTTTTAATACACACTCGAGAATTTTTTTATCCTGGTAAACAACTCTATTATTGTTTTTAGCTATATATATATATATATATATATATACACACACGCACACACGTGTATCTATATATATTTTTACAGAAATATAAAAAATAATGCAGGTGATTCAACAAAGGTAGAATTTTAGGACTCTGGAAGGCAATGGCATTTTACTTTAAAAGAGAAAGCTAAAATTATCCCCTTTAACAAATATAAGCTCTACAGCTCAAGTTCAATGATAAACGCTTCCTAAGCAATTGGGGCCCTAAGAGCACTAATAACTACCTGATCCCAGAACTCTTCCATCTAAATTCAGAGGAGAGTTCCTTTATGAGATGAATGGTGACGAGTCCCATAACATGACAAAGCACAAGGCTGCATCTGCTGGCACAGTGGGCTCTGGCCATGGCCATGGTATATCCTTTGAAAATCCTGACCTGGGGAGCAGGTCTTCATTTCACTCCCTCTCTGTGTCCCTTGCTGGCAGAGGTAACTGTGCCCGCTCACCTGAGGAGCAGCACCGAGCCATGGTGCAGGGGTCGGCAGGCCTGGTAAGAAAACGCCTCTAGACTCTCCTTTCCCAAGGGTGCTGGGAGAGGGGCTCTAAAGGAAAGACAAACAGATATGACTCACCCCTAACCTACATTCTGTGAAGTGTGGGGAGACAGAGATTAAACACAAGGTGAAGGAAGGGCCAAGGACGATAAAGCAAGATTCCAATTAAGCTTCCCTCCCCTCCTCTTTCTGGACAGAATCCAATGTACAAAATTGTGATTCTACAAACTTCCTTTACAGCAACAGCAGTAGCTCTTTTCCTCGGGGGTACTGTGCTATTAATTAAAAAAATAGGTGGTTTTAAATTGTGATTTTTAAAAAACACACACAAAAAAACTTTAAACTCTCAACACAAAACCCAATACCAACAAAGACACACTTGCCAAACAAGGAGTGTAAAAAGGGGATTCCTGTCGCTTTGGGGGTTGGAAGATGAGGAAAGAGGAACACAATACATATGTTGGAAAAAGTATGTTAATCTTCAGCTTATCCCCCTGAGCGAGAGGGCAGTGTATTGTTATCTCTTGCTAAAAAGCCTATGTTTAGACTGGCAGGAGGAAGAGAAACGCTAATTTCCCTGCTAAGTTTAAAGCTTTATTTACTTATTGCTATATTGAATTGAACAAGGTAAACAAACCTGAATCTGCTCTGCTGGAACATGGATAATGTGGGGCGGTCTGTCGCCATGGTGATGCACCGCGTTGCTCTCCTGTTCGTAAATGGCATCGCGTTCTGGCTGAGGAAGACTGAGGAACCTTCGGATCATGGAGAGGTTCTCCCACAGGGTTCTGTTTTCTGGAGAAGGATCTTCCTTCCAGCGTAACAGCTCACATAACCATCCCTTAGAGACAAGGGCATAATAGGTTAGTTTGTGCCTATGGGGTGGGGAATGGCATTTTCCAATAGGAGCTAAAAAGGAAAAATCTTATGAATTAACTTTTTCATAAGCTCAGAACACACTAATCTGCTTTAAAATTTGTTTTTAACTTGTTAAGAGAGGTTATCTGTGGCTGTCAAGGAGGCAGACTCTGTTTCTAATCAAAGTTCAGATTTGCATCTCAAGGGAGGGACACATTTTTCAGACTCTGAGGGTAAGAGAGCATTTATCACAGATTTTGTAATATATGAAATAGGAGAAAAACAAAGTTGATGTGCTTCAGTCTTGCGCAACTTTCCTGTCTAATGAGTGGCTGGCCATCTGAGGATACTGAAGTGCTTAAGGGGCAGGACAGATTTTAGAAATAATTTTTTTTAAAGGATTTCCTAAGCTTGTAATTTCTGGATTTGAAAGAAAACTGTGTGAATATTTATGTGTGTGTGCATGTATGAAACAGAAAGGACATGTGCAATTGTACCAGCACGAATGTTGTCCAGTATAAGGCATGATTATTACAATGGGCATTAGAATAATTTGCTATGAAACAATTCTTTAAAAAGAGACACTGGGTCTGCAGTGGCTAGTGCATGTAATCCCAGCACTTTGGGAGGCCGAGGTGGGTGGACCACATGGTGAGAAGATTGAGGCCGTCCTGGCCAGCATGATGAAACACCATTCCTACTAAAAATACAAAAAAATAGCTGGGTATGGTGGCGCATGCCTGCAATCCCAGCTACTCGGGAGGCTGAGGCAAGAGAATTGCTTGAACCAGGGAGATGAAGGTTGCAGTGAGCCAAGATTGAGTCAAAAAAGAAAAAAGAGACAATGGAGTCTATTTTTCTGCTTACTGCAGTGGGAGCATATGATTTGTCAGGCAAGAATTTAATAAGTTTCTTGGGCTAAGAGAGAAGGAAATGTCTAGTGACTGCCAAAATCTGAACCTCTCTTCCAAGGCCCAGTTTTTTACCCTGGGGTTATCTATCAAGAACTGAGTGGGCATCAGAATACATTTTCCAGTCATCTCAAGTCTTCACCTTGGCTGCCGTGGTGGACACTAAACAATGGAGTGAAGGGGAAGAGTGAGGGTGTCCGACCCAGGCCCCCACCAAGCAAGGCAGCCTCTGCTGTTCAGCTGCCTGCTATGCCTCTCACATGCATTCTGTTCTGGAGAAATGTCTTGAAGCCATCTCTACACTTCTTCACTGACCTCCTCACCCTAGATGCCCAGTGACCGGCTGACCCAGTGGCACAAAGTCCCTGGCCCTTTTTCTGAAAATGGACGACTTACTCTATCCTTCAATCTACTCTCTAGAGACAGTCATCCCCATTCTTCTTGCTCCCCCGCCCACCAACCTAGGGCTAGACTTTGCCCAAGACCACATCCTTACTGGACCTCCTGCTCTTCCCTGTCCCTCCTCCTTTCCTCCCAGGGCCCTCACCAAGTCATGAGCACCTGACTCCCATCCTAGGCTCTGCTTTTAGGGAACTTGATCTAAGACAAAGACATTTCTTAGAAATTTTAAGCAAATTAGTTGGATGAAAAGGGAAGTACTGTTTTTTTTTATTATGTAATTTTTAGATCTCGTCAAGGAGGGTTTTATTTTTTATGTTATCAGGGGTGAGGTCAGAGGATGGCATGATTTTCCTTCCCTTCTCAAACTGAAACCATTAGAAAGAAAAATTCTTCTTTGACTGCAGTGTATAGTGGAAAGAAACATGGCCTGTTCTCCCCAAAATGGCCTACTTGAAGAAAAGGTAGAAAACTGACATATAATCTTCCCAAGGCCTATCTGTTAACCAGCCCATGGTGACTGCTGCTGTATCTCATGACATCTACTAGTATTCCTATTCAACAGGTCTTTTAATTAAGCAAATATATGCATGGGGATGGTCATGTAATCATGCACTCATTTGATGCCACTGAATGTATAAATCAAGGTTAAGACAGCAGGCAGTAAACTGAAGATTTACCTGAAAGACTGTTAGCTAAATAAAACATAAAAATCACTGTGATTGCAGTGTCACTGAACTTGCTTCTCTTCTAACCATGGCGATTCTATGTTTATTTCCAGAATACTATAATATGACATATTTCAGCTCTATTTATGTGAATACATTAACTACAAAACTGTATGTGAGCATTTGAAGTATCTGAGACCTACTTGCATATGGTGCCCTAGAGATGTTTACTTAGCTCTTACTGGTAAATATTTGCCATCTGAATTAAGCCATGAAAATATACATTTTTCTACAACTAAGCTATTCTTTATACTTTACATTTTGTTGCTGTGTAGGTTTTAGATATGTATCTTCCTGTAGGCTTTAATATTAACTATGGGTGAGACTACTTTCCCTCTCCTCCTTGTCTGCCTCCTTTAGCCATCACAATTGACAGGATCCCTCTAACTGAACACAGCAAATCACACAGTTTTATATACCTTTCAAAAGAAGTTAGAGGTTCATAAAGAAAAGAGTAGATTTTTTTTTTAACTTGGCTAGTATTCTACTATTGCAATAAATGCTAAACATTGAACATTTAAGAATTTTTTTTTAAGAAATAAATGCTTGTAACTAAAAATTGCTAAAAGTTAAATTAAGAATGATTCATGTAAGAAAAGCTTCTTGGAGAGAGCTGAAAAACTCCAGTGATTTTTCACATCCTTTAGAAACTTTTTAAAGTAATGCAGAGATCAGTTAGCACTTGGATATATGTGAAAAAACATGTGGATCACAGATGTTCTTTGGAAAAGAAAATCATTAGTTCTTTTAAAATGGCTAATAATGATAGCTAATTCCTAAACAATCACACTCATGCTGGTTTAACAAATATTTCAGAAAAAGAGCCCTGACTCATTCAACAAATATTTTGCTCATATTGTCACTTCTGTGTGTCTATACTTATGAGACGGATCCTTATTTTTATTAATTGCCCATGACTAACATAACATTTCCAGTAGTCTGCTATTAACCTCTGCCCTTAAATAATACTTCTAATTCCTTATCTAAAAATAATTTGATGAATTATAAGTTGAAGCATGTCTCCGCTAGCCTTTCAAGAAACGCGATGATTTTAAGAGACTGAAATCAGATGCTTCTTAGAAAAATATTTAACGGTGCAGCTGGGAACTGTTAGCTGTACAAGGGTATTCCAAAAAAATTAAAAGGGGGGGGGTTGCTTCTCTTGATGTGCATCTCTCTTAAAAAATAATGGAAAACAGACATTTTGACACATTAGCTCTTTGTCAGTGTAGAAATAAATTGGCTCATTCCCAATTTATACTGGCAAAAATAAGATAATTTATTCTAATGCTATTTAAATACCTTGGAATATTTTGACTACCTCAAATCCTATTGATCGTTACTCTATTAATAATGACAGTAATCTGATCTATGTTTTTGCAGAAAACGACTAAGAAGCCAAATGCTAATTCTTCAATACCTCTTCCTAGGTCAGTTTTCCACAAGTGTTATTGTTAGAATAAACAAACAGGAAGAAGATGAATATGTCAAAGTATTTTTAATATCTGACAAAAGTGATTCCCAAAGTATGTACTAGTTTTTAAGCGATAACTGCATTTATGTTTGGGGTGGGGGGAGAGATGAAGAATGAAATCCAGTGCTTTGCTGCAAAAAACAAAAACAAAACATAATTACGTTTTTAAGAGAAGTCTCTGGGACTTGATACACGTAAGGCCATAGGCAGGAATAGAAAACTGCTCTCTAAATTAAATTAGCTCACAACTGTTTTGAACAGTAGAAAAGACAGGGGACTAACAGCCTTAAAATAATGAGACCAATCCATTCTCAGAAAACTAAAATGGTACAAGGAACAACCTAAACTTTAAATGTAGTAAATTTGCCAAGCAACATTACGCTGCATATAAAGAGGGCAAAATATAAACAGTAGCCACATGTAAATAAATTAGTAAAACTTTCAGGATGTTACTACTTTTCAAACTGACAAAGTTTAATTTGACACCTTCTGTTCTAAACCCTTTGTTTCTATTCAAAATCACGCCTTGAGCTGTTGCGATCCATCACAGTGCTCCCCCTATTACTTAAAAAAACTGGCATGGACCCTGAATAAGCTGAAAATGCCATGCAGATGAATTCTGAGATAATATGTTCAAACCTGTTATATACAACACAAATCCTGTAAAGTTATGGATTGTAAACCTACATTTATTGAGAACTAAAAGTCTTAAATCCATCTGCCACAAAGGAAATACTGTTGTGTACTTTATAGTAACCAAGAACCATCTGCAAATGTCTTGCTACCGTAAGCAAGAAAATGGTGCAAAAGATGCTAAACCTAAGATTGCATGAAATAAATAACATTCTTTTTGACTGGTTTTGGTTAGGGATCTATTAAAGAAATGTAAGACTGGGTGGGGGGGAAGGAAAAGAGAAAATGCAGAATAACTGCCAAATCAGTACTGCAAAAAAGCAAAACAAACTCAATGATAAGACAATGGCAATTTATTATGGTCCATGAAACACACGACTGTATGCTCATTTTAAAGGAAAAATTAGCAGTTCTAAACTCAATATTCTAATGATGTGCTTTACTGACAGAATCTTGTTGCACCACATTTAAATAAAAATCCTGGCACCTTCATCTCTCAGCTGCTAATTTCCAACCAAACTCAATCTCTGATTTCCACTCCACTCTTTTTAGAACATTTAATTCAAGTCAATTCGCTTCTAACATTTTAACAGATAAGGGGTGCACAATGATTTTAATTGAGTCAAGAAAGTAACCTCCTTTCATAAATGAATTTATTGTACTTTATAAAGCCTCACACGCATAAAAAGAGAACCCCTAACAAGGCCTGTTCTGTGACAAAGCTGGGAGTATGTAACATAACTACTTTTCCAGGAGAAAACAGACTTTGGTATTCTCCGAGAAAAAAAGTCATTTAATGCAATATACATATATGTATATATTATCATTATGTACATAT